CGGCTCCTGGCTGTGTTTTCGGGACGCGGAGGCGGCCGTCGACGGATTCGAGATAAGACGCACGTAGTTTCGTGGCACGAGACCAATGTTACCGGAAGCATTGCGGCACCGCCACCAATCAGGGTCATCTGGTGGCTTTTCCAGCACTTCAAGGACTTCGTCCATTTCAAAAGACAGTTCTTCCACCTACATGTATGTATAAGTGTGTTTTTAAGTGTGTAGTAAGAAACAGAAAGCCAACTAAACCTAATTTCAAAAGAAAACCGTTTATCGGGGACAAGCCGACTTTTACTCTGCAAATTTTCGAGACTGATTTTCCAGCTTGTTAGCTGATATCTAAGCCAAAGCGCGTCTTTGGCCTTCCTTCAACCCGTTGGAATCGGTTGCGTTCATCGACACTGGTTCTTGAGGATTTTGTATACTGCACCTAAGTCGATTGGCCTACGGATGCAAGCTTCATCTGGGTGCATTGCCACCAGGAATTCCAAATTCTTCCTTACTGGACAGACACCCATGATGCGGGTTTTTTCCCATGCAAATGCGTGTCCCGTGTCTAGTCTGTGCAGTTACGTGGGGTAGATGGCTTCGCCCCTCACCGCCAGCTGATGTTCATATGCACGGGTGGAGGCAGACTCTCGAGTTTGGCCGCAATAAACTGTATCAAAACTGATGCATGGAATTTGGTAGACAAATTCCTTCCTATTTAAGTAGCCTGTCTGATCAGTAAGGTTAAACAAACCGGGTTTTTGTACTGCCTGTATTCGAGTTTTTTTTCAGCTCTCTTTCGACCAACTTAAATAAAGAGTTTGCGTAAGAGAACGTTAGCCAGATGATTGATTTTGTCATCAGAGCGGCCGTATTGTCAGAAATACTTTTTTTCCGTGGCATCTACCCAATAAAGAAGGATCACGAGTACCTAGAGGTCATGCACTTAGACGGGGCATGCATCAGTAGGCGTACCAACTTGGGTGGCACATACAAACTTCTCAAGGACAAGTACCAAAGAACGCAGCCACTTGCGACGGGATGACGAAATGCCGCGGGCACAGTTTGGACCAGACCTCAGTCGACAA